ATTTTACAATGCCTCTGAAAGCTGAGGGATTTTGAACTTGGAAGTAGATGTGTCAGATGAATAAATTACAGAAAGCAACTTTCTATTTCATTTCTCTTAAATGTATCTTTAATCAGACCCATGTCCATCATAATTCATTGAAGTTTGTCGTGGGTCACCTTCAGTGCTTTCAAAATATATACATAGAAAAGTTCAGTAGACAAGTTGACTGACGCAGAAAGTTGAGAGTTGACCTAAAGGTCAAACAGAACTCTGGGGGGTTGTTGGCATGGGCTGTGATTGATTCATTGTTTGCATGTTTCATGATAAATCCTCCTGTCAATGCAAATGTTGTATGATAAATGATGTAAACCTCTGGGATGATGTTAAAATTGACTCAACTTCATTATTAAAAAACAATTTCATATACTTACCTATACTTTTAGTTTTCTTGCTTTAGCTTTAAGGAACAAAATAACAAATGCCCACACACAACATGACTCTGTCCCTCTTGACTTTTTTTTACAGCTCAGGAGAAGGATTTTCGTCACTACTGTGCATCATTGTTTGCTGTCCCTGTCAGTGGGGGCGAGACTCAGGCTCAGCTCACTGCACCTGAACCGTGCCTCGTCATAGAGGTCCTGGATGAGGTGAGAATGACTGAAGCATTTTGGTTTTAAAAGCAGAGTTTAACCTACATGAACATGCAGACTGAACCTAGACCAAGGAGTAGCCACAAAGAACTTAATCACACAATAGACCTCATAGAAAACAACATATGTTTTGTTTCCATCTTTCTCTTACTGGCTCACTCACATGATCTCTTTTATTTCATACAGACGGACGGAGACATGAATGGAGTCTCTGCTGAACATTCTACTGAACAGAGGAGGAGCAACAACATAGAGTAAGAATCAATATAAAAAAAAAACATATCTACTCTGACTTCATCACATACCTACTGACATTGGCATGTGTGATGAAAGCAAGCACACGTTTACCCACAGAAAACTGTTGATTTACAAAACAAGCCTGACAGCATCTGTATTTATTATCGACCATATCTTCCACAACAATCTTTCAGCATGTAGTCAAGAGAATATACTACAGTAACAGTCTCTGCCTCTGTGAAATAGGTGTTTGAACTGTCTAGTGAACAGTGTGAGTTCAAGGTCTGCTCGCCCTGTACCAAAATTATAGCATAAATAATTCAAGAGGCTCTTTAATGTATTGCTCACCCAGAGCATGTGATGCAATGATATATCAGTGTTGTACAGCACTGGTGCAGGGCCCATCAAGCTGGAGTCTCAGCCAATGAAACAAACTGATTCTCCATAATGATTGACAAGATTTAACACCCTGATTTTACAATTGATGTCTGTTGAGGGATAAATTGTAAGTTGAAATCATGTTGCCCATTAATTTTCAGCACCAGTTTTGAATTTTCAGAATTATGAGGTAACAAAATAAAAATTCAAAGCATCGTGGTAAAGGAGTAATTTGTGAACATTTATAACCATTGAATTAACTTTGTTGTTTCTTTTTGAGGAAAGAAAACCTTTCTCATATCATCATTTGAGCATCTTGTTGTGATTATCTTGACTTTTTAGAAAGAGCAATGATGAGTGGAGTTTAGAGTCTAAGGAAATACAATAAAAAACCTACTAGCATGCATTAGTAATCAGTCAGTGATAATTTAATGGGGGATCATTTGATGCCATTTTTCACATGTTTGTTAATACTTGCTGGGAAAGTTAAATAAAGCTATTACTGGATGGACGTGGACGCCTATTTTCCCCACACAGGGATCGCTTGTTTGAGCAAGTCCCCAACAAAGGAAGAGTGTTGATGCCTCAAACATCCGTGCCTAGCGGTGGGTCCTCAAGAGTCAGCCGCTCCTCTCTCAGTCCAACACGACCATCCAGTCAGTCCAAAGCACCCGCACAACCTGAAGCAGCTCAGAAGCTCTATCCATCAGAGCCTCAGACTACCAAAGCAGATCACTCAAAGAAAGGTAAGTTTAACAAGTGTCCAACAACCAACTTACAAAAAATTAATTGATATGGCATATTTCTTTACAACTAAACATTTTTATAATCTATTGAAATTCAAAGCACAACATTTGTCAGGACTGCGCTTGAGGAGGAATGGATGGAATCTGTGATATATGAAGTTGTTAAGTGAAGCCACAGTGAGAACAAAACTGAGAATCAGTAGTAGAGAAAATGTACTTTCTCAGATCAAGGTCAAGTTCAGATCTTGTTCTGCCATGTTACATGAACACTGGCTGAGTGTAAAAGACAAAGTCAGAATTAGACTGTGGCTGTAAAGTTGATCAGTGAAGTCCTCTCATTGGCCTGGGTAAATGTAGACTATGAGTGTTGTGTTGCTGTAAATGTTTCTGTGTAATATTAGATGCTGCAGCAGTTTAGTGGTGTATGATGTGAGCGGATTCATTAAAATGCATCTGCACCCTCTCCTGTGGTTCTCCAGTGGTCATCCTGCTCCCTGACTGTGCAGCTGCTCCCTGCAGAGCCTCATCTCAACAAGACGTTCTTTCAGTCACTCTGCAACAAACACTCAGCGTTTGCAACTGTCTGTTTTAACACATTTCAGTCCAGGTTTGTTGATCATTCAGCTGGTAACCAATGAACTGTAATATCACATGGCTGCAAAGGTGACCCGTCATTTTATAGTGTGAAAGTACTTATCTTAATTAGTGAGTAAAAACAGATTCTACAGTGTCCTCAGTCCAAATGTTAGATTTGTATTATTGTCTCAGGGGAAACTACAGTGTTCAGCAAACACAGCCTATGATTCTGTGCAGCTTTTTGCCCAATTAAAAACAAAAATGGAAAGATGCCTCCTTTCTGATCCTGTTCTGAGTCTAGTTCAAAAGCTGTTAAGCAACTGTTTTTATCCATATTGTATCCAAATTTAAAGTCGAATTAGAAATACTTAAGTATACTTAAGTTAAAGTTTACTCTTATGTGTATAACTCTTCACGAGTGTCACTAGTAAGATATTTCTTTAAAGCCAAAGCTCCATTTCCTAAAAGCATCTCAAGGCAGAAACGATCTTATGTTGTAAATCATTTTGTGTCATGTTCCGAGGAGCCACGAGCTCTGGGAACTTGGGATGGACATTTTTCACATTTTGTTGACAGACTGTATACTATAGTCTAACTAATAGTGTACTGTACAGACAAAAGTTTACAGGCTGGGAGACGTTCATTAGAAGAAGATGTACACTAATGAGCCAAATCATTATGACGACTCAGGTATAGAGGCATACGTTAGAGGATACATTAGACTTGTGGTTGTAATGTTTAGGCTCATTGATGTATAACCAGGTAGCGATAATTTTGCATCAATTACAGCAAGGAAATGTCTTTATATACTGCTTTTGGTCTGAGAGGTAAAATAAAAATGTATTCATTCATGAGTTGTTTGTTCATGTTGTTGTTTTAAATTCAAATAAGATCAACGAGTCATTTGCATTTCAGTGGTCGCATTTCAGATTCAATATACAATATATCCCAGATGTGATGAAGTCACAGAGTTCTCATAACATATTGTCAAGCATGGATTTTTTAGACTTTATTATATGACTAGTAAAGATAGACAGACAACGTATGGAGAGAGGAGAGGGGTAACATCCAGTAAATAGTCCCAACAGCGGATTTTGAACTAGACTCAGACCAGGGTCAGACTGGAGACATCTTTTCATTTCTCTGTAGTTTCCCCTGAGAAAATATTGCAGATGTAAGATTTGGATTGAAGACTGTGGAAAACTGTTTTTACTGCCTCATTAAAATAAGGTTTTCCACACTATAAAATGATGGGTCACCTTTGCAGCCATGTTTAACTGGTTACCAGCTGAATATTTTTGTTGCAGTGAGAGTGACTGAAAGAACGTCCTGTTGAGATGAGGCAGGGAGCAGCTGCACAGTCAGGGAGCAGGATGACCACTGCAGCACTGCAGGGGAGGGTAAAGAAGCATTTTAATGAATCGGCTTACCTAATACATCACTAAGGTGCGGGAGCATCTAATATTACACAGAAACATTAACAGCAACTCATTAACTCCTGAGACACACACAGTGTGGATTTACCTGGGCCAGGGAGGAGACTTCTCAGCTAAACAACTTTACAGTTAAAGTCTAATCCCTACAATTTGACAAAATTAGGAAATAGAAAAATAGAAAACCTTTTTTCCAATTTTATATTTTGCAGACAATTTATATATAAAATTGAACGGATAAGTTACATGTGATCCCAATGTATGTTTACACAATAATAGATGCCTGAAAGAGAAAGAGTATGTGGTCGCAATGTCAATAGTTAATCAACTGAAAAATAATTTTAAAAAGTGAAATACAAGAATTGGGTCTGGCTGCATATCATATGTCTGTATTTTATGAAATAAGCTGCGTGGTATGTGACAACACCTTCACCTCAGAGAATGTAAACATCTGTATTGAACCTTGGCCACATTGTAAAAATACAATGAAATGAATTATGCGTTGCAGTGTAGTAGTAGTGAAGGACAAACTTAATAAGAGAAACATTCCTGTGTTTGCATGTGTGTTTTTTTCTTTAAAAAATATATGTGACCACATACCTGCAATATCTAATATCCTAACTATGTCTTGTGTTGTCTTTTGTGCAGCATTACCCTCTAACAGTATGCCAACAGCATACTTCACTGCTGAGACCCCAAGGACATCACAGACATCAATCAAAACACCAACCTCAAAGTCGCAAAAGCCCAATTGTTCCACCACTGTCCACAAATCAAAAGCTGAGCATGGGTCACCCCCATGTTTGTCCTCATTACCACATCCCCAGGCTAAGATCCCTAAATCCTCCTGCTCCCCTCTCTTATTTCCACCTGATGTCTTTCCTCTGGCTACCACCAGATCACCACTCCCGAAACAGCATCTCTCCCCTTCTCCGTCCACACCCTTCATGCTGAGGTCTACATTCACTTTCTCACCATCAAGCTCCACTGAGTCAACTTTGTTGCCCAAAGTTTGCCATTCAACCCCATTACATCAAAGCTCACACTCGTCTCTGCTGCCAGAACGACACCCATCTTCCACTTTATTCCCAGAATCAATCTCTTCTCCAAAGCTTTTTCAATCACCACCAAACAATCTGGAGTCCCTCGAGAAATCCCAGCATTCCTTGAGTGACCCAGAGTCTCTCTCTCTAGATAATCATTTCCAGCTTCCTCAGTCTTCCAGGCCAAACCCACAACCAAAATCCCTGGAACCAAGTCAGTTACAAGAACTCCCAGCACCACTAAGCACAACTGTAAAAGACCTGTTAAGTTTATCTTTATTTAATGAGTCCGCACCAGATGCAAATTCTAGACATACGTCAACTCCAACATACGGGGATCCAGTTTTTATGTCTCCTTGCTTCTTCTCTGGGAACCATGAATCAACTCTGTCTCGACGAGATACACAGTGTATACCCACACTTTCATCAGAATCCTTAAATGTCACCCAGAATCATCCCTTTGCTTTGAAACTGAAGGAGGAAGAGGAGCTATCAGTGGGTAAGTGAATTGTGATAATGAGCTGTCTGAATGCGTGTCTGTGTATTTTTGTGTGCTGATGGTGTGGAACTGATGATAAGAGCACCAGTTATTCCTGCATGCAGTCTGGTTTTAGCTCTGGTTGGTGGTTGTATCATCGCATTTAAACTTCTTAACCAAATGATGAACCACAACTCAGTGATTGTTGTGTGGTCTGGACTCAAAATGTTTATCTAATTTGGGGGCAGTGACAACAACTGAAGTATCAGGTGCTCTGCCTACTCCCATCAACAGGAGTATATGGCGTAGCTCCTCTCTGTTTACATCAGTATTCACACATGTAATCAGAAGTCAGTCCTGCCTACATCCACATTAATGCCAATGATACATTTCCTTGGACCCTCTCCAGATTCTGTTCTCTCCATGAGGCTCCTCATTATTCTTATTCGCCAATTCACACCTCATGTAATTAGCAACTCTAACTCTGATGGTGTAATTTGGAAAAAACATTTCCACCTTAACTTAGAAATTCACTTGATAGAGCACATACCTCTGGCAAGGTCCAATAGGTCCGTCCAGTAGCTTTTAGCATAATCCTGCTAACAAACAAATGCTGGTGAAAACAAAATATAATGAAAAAATTGGGATCTGGTACAATTTCACCAGCAAGCAAAGTGGAAAATGTTTTCATGTAGCCAATTTTATACCAGTAATAAGAATATCAATCAGGAAATATACATTTACTCTACAGTGTATGTCCATCCACCCAAACATACTGCATTACTCCTACCAGTATACACCAGCAGTATGAAGTAATGGTTATCTCATACAGTAATTTGATTCTGCAGTACTATGCAGTGAGATTTTCAGAGCCAGACAAGAATTTACACAGGCCAATATTTGGGTTAGAAGCGTCATCAACCCCCCTACTCTCCCGCAGTCAATCCAGCAGGGGATTCAAATCTTTTAAAATTAGTTTAAAATTGACTATTTGTCTACTTTCCTCCTGTAAGCCCTGCTCCCCCATATCCTCTTTTCCTCCATTCATCCATCATCTCTTTGTTTTATTTCATCCTTAGTTTCTATCATTCTCTTGCTTCCCTTTCCTGCAGCTCTTTGACCAGTTTGACTCTAAAAGCTTCCTTCATCAACTTATTAGGGTTTGATGTGAAATGTCAAGGACACTCAGATCACATTTGAGTTTTTATGTTTCCTTGATGTTGAATTAAATGTTGCTTCAGTGGTTAAAAGGATGATTAATCAATGTCAGTGCTCTTACAATCCACTCTTATAGTGGTGTTTGAGTCATATAAATACAATGCTTGTTTTTAATACTTTCACAGCTTGAATTATGTATGTATTTTATCCTCTAAAAGTTTGTGTCTGTATTTTTCATCTAGACAGTGGAGATGAAATGTCCAGCGACAGTCTTGGTCTGACTCCACACAAGGACGGCTCCTCAGATGAAGAAGCTCCGATGCATGGACGTTTAACAAGAGGGAGATCCAGAGAAGAAGAGCAGGGGAATTCTGCCACATCTCATCTCGGAGAATCCTTTGTTCCTACAGATGCAGACATAGAAAAAGATCTGCAGGCTGAGGAACCAGAACATCTGTCACAGCCATCCATGGTAACACATTTTTATATTCCCACATACTTTGTTCTTCTTTGAGGTGGAAACCTTGGGCCAAAGAGATGTAATAGCAGTATTTTTCTCTGGAGCACAGCAAAAAGTTTCAGCAAAAGTCACTGGACTCAGCTTTTAAATATGTTTTTAGGTGCTTGTCAATCTGACAATCAGCCAGCAAAATAAATTATTTCACTGTGTGTGGCCTAATAAATTGACTTTCAAAATAGAATTTGGCTCATTTACCACCAATAAAACATAATTTGGGACCCAAAAATTGAATTTCTTGCCTGTATTATAACTAATGATATTACAGTAGTGAAAAACATTTGATTGCCAGTAAATCAATAAAAGAATTCCTAAATATGCTGTGAAATTTGTATTTGAAATATCTCGGGTATAATAAAAGGTACAAATGGGCAACTTTTCGGAGTTGTAGAAGTTTTACACTCATGTCATTACACAGGACATAATTACTGCATAAAATGAGCAGATTTAACGACATCCAGTTTGTCATTGTTGCTGACCTGATCTATTAGATAACATTTGTGTCGCGCTAATTACTTTACATTATTCATCTTTTGCTCTGAGACACCTAGGGGCTGTGGTGTTAAAAAAGGTGCACGCTGCCAAGGAAAGAGAAAAGAAACAGAGGATTAAAAAGACGCCCCTTGAATGGTCCCAAATGATCTGTCAGCCATTTAATTGTATGAATCCTTTATATACTGTGACAGAGGAATGAAAAAAATAGGAGGTTGGCGATGGGCGTAGAGCTTTATTAAAAAGCTGGAGGAAAATGGGGTTCGTGATTGTGAAGATGGTGGTTATCTTTGGCCTATGGACCTAAATCAAGCTGCTCCTAATATGATTAGATAATGATTAGGTATTTTTTTCCATCTCTCGACCTCCGTCTCTATGTAGTTGGACCTGATATCTTCCCTTGTCCTTCTTATGCTATCTGCTAGCTGCCTCTATTTTTCATACATTTTTTTGTCTATTTTCTGTTCCCTATTCTTTTTCTTTCCCCCATTTCACCATACATTTCGGTCAGAAAGGTCCCATGCTATGTCATTGTTATGCCATTCTTTCATTCGCCCTGTCTTCCTCCTCTTGTCATTCTCAGCTCTCACTCCCTCCTCACTCTTAGCAACAATATTCCCTCATGCCTTCCCTCCTATTATTTCCTGGCCCATCTGCAGCTCTCTCTTGCAGCGCTATGGCTGGCATGCAAATGCATCAGATTCTAATCTTAACTAAACAGAGTTTCCTCATTTTACAGTCGTCTCACAGGAGGACACTTGCGTGGGAAGAGCGGCTGGCCCACCAGGGCGTTGTGAGATGCTCTCTGCAGCTCCAGGGGTTAATTAAAAATCAATTCATCAAGTGGAAACAAAGGAAACAGGGAGAGAAGGGAATAATCTCCAATGAAAGAGAGTGGCTTATTAAAATGCATTTACACATTCAAAAAATGAAAAACCTACAAGTTTCAACACACTTACCTGTCGAAATAAAAGTTAAATTGATATTGAATTTCACTTTGTCCCTTAAACTGATTTTGTTAGGATAGAAATTGAACTCAAGCCACGAGACCACAATATTAATTACTTATTCCCCCTTTACTTTCTTCACTCTACATTAATGACTCTTCCTCTCTCTTTACCCCCAACACTCCATCATGTCCCCTCCTCAACCCTCTATAATTTATTTCTCCTTTCAATTTCTCATCTTTCTGTGTCACTCCCTCCACTTATTCCCTTTGATACCACTCACTCCCTTCTCCCTTCCATCTGTTTTCTTTTCCTCTTAGGTGATGCACAACTGGAGTGCTGGGTCCGGATCAGAGCAGTCTTGTGATCTTGAGAGGTTTTCTCCTCTCAGTGTGGATTTGGGTTCTGGTTGCTCCAACACGCCAGAACACACAAGCTGTGACGCACTGCGAACATGCCAAACTTCATCACATGACTCAGACCCAACAGGTACGTTAAAGATGCTAAGTATTTGTTTGTGTACATTTGCGTGAACTTTTACATACACATACACTTTTTTCTTCTCTCATGTTTTCCAACAAACTGCATCAGATTCCGTAGCTGCCTCCCCGTGCTTCAAGAGATTAGATTGTAAAGATTACCTCTGTGTCCAACTTTTGCCTGGAGATACTTTCCAATTTGCAAGCGTTATTCATTTCACAAAGGCCTCATAATAGGATTTAGAACAAATACGTAAAAATGTAGAGCTTACAAGAGGGATGAAAATGAGTTTTAAACCCAGAGGAGTGTTGGCTGCACAAAACGAGAGATGGGGGACAACACCGATTTACTACTGGTGGGTCCCAGGGGAGCGTTGCAAACATTCCTTTTCATTTTGAGTGTGTTTGTGTGTAAATGTGTGTGTCTTTGTCTGCACATCGGCCTAAGCCTGTGGGCTTCTTTTTTTCTGAATATTTAACTATATGTACTGCCTCAAATTTTTTAAACAGCAGGTGTTGTGTCTTTCTTCAAATTAAGGTAGTGATGCTTGCATCCTTCACGTGTTGTCAGTGTAATGTCATTTATTTTGCAACAGATCTGAAAACCTATTTAACAGAAAATGCCAGGGAACTCTAAAATGTCCGGAGCCCAGTGTACTGCAAATCTATTGGGAGCTTTTTGTATTGTCATTATTCATGCTACTTTTTTCTATATCACTATATATTTTTCATTATTTCCCATCATTACCTCTCTCCTTCAGTCAACTGCATAGACACTTTGTTCCATGATTTTTTTCTCTCCATCTCCTCATTCTTTTCAATGTCAAGTTTCACCTTGAACTACACCGGACAAATACTGTTGTAACAAGATGGTTTTAAAATCATCTGACATTAACTGTGTCTGTTAGACCAAATAGCCGTTGAGGAAAGTGCCTTGAGGTAAATGATAAATATCCTATTTTTGACTTCAGCCCGGGCATTCGGAATTATTTTTTAGGGCTAATGAATTGTAAATTGACCTTGTCTGTGAGGTGTGCACACTGCGCAACACGGCTGATGGAAGTCGAGCCCGTGCCTCCAAATTGCTTCAGAGTTAAAGCAATAATATCTGGAACCAATCAGATCCAATCAGATGCTGTAATTTGTCCAGCCACACAGTGCTGTAATTTGTCCAGCCACAAAGCCTTGTACTCGCGTCCAAGGCTTTGTGATTAAATGCATTAAAAACAAATGTTGCTTTCTAGGAAACATTTCATATTCATACTTTTGTTATTTCTTCTGCCCAAAATGATCCAGTCATCATTTTCTCTTCATCGGGTCTAAAAGCTCAGCTTTTCTCTGTGTCATTGTCAAGACTGCGTTAAATGAAAGAGGTCGACCGTGAGACTCCCACAAGGGCACCACCACTGTCCAACTCTCCATGCAGCCAGCCGCTCGTCAAAACATCGCACTGTCTCTGCCACCATCATTAAATCTCCAAAGTTAATGACAGAGAAAGGTTAGAGAGGAGGAATATCACCTTGACAACACTCCACATTCGTTTATTTCCCTCCATCTCCCCATCTGTCTCCTCTATTTTTCTCTTTTTTTCTTTCCAGGCAGGGCTGAGGTCCAAAAGGTTTTAATATGTCTCCTGCTCTACCTCTGCAGCTCTTTTTCCTCTCTGCTCTTCCTCCCTGTCACTTGGTCAGTCGGAAAATGAGGTTGTTAGTGTGCAGGTTCTGTCTTGTGTGCATCCAGTTAGAGAGAGAGAGTGAGACAGGAGACAGACAGACTGACAAACCTCCACAGAGAGAGAGAGAGAGATAGAGAGAGGGGAGAGATAATGGCAGCTCTATGTAGACAAGAGATGTATGATGTGGTTAAAAGCAGACAAATTAACGAAAAGACAGGTAGAAAGACAGGTAGACAGCCATCCTCACAGAATTTCTCTCTCTTGTATTTTTAAATCATTTGTTTTCCAAAAAACTACTTCAACCCTCTCAGTTTTCTGTTCATGAGTCAATAATCTGGAGAACTAACTCCTCTCCTCCTTTCCTCATTTCATTTACAGCTGATTTAAACTAGTTAGTCGACTCTGCATCCTGTCAATATTATTAATTGATTGGCTAGCCACTGGAGAGACAGAAGAAAACAGCAGGGATTGCATTGCAGCTGTCAGCATTGGCTGAACAGACTTGTTAGCAATATTGCTTTGTTACAGACGCTGCTCCTGTTTTATTGAATCAAATATAATTAATTACATTTACTTTTAGGATAAAATCATTTCACCATAAAGATAAGCCAGTTTTATTTTTTTAGATGATAAACAGCCATTAAAATGGAAGAACAAAATTCTATAATTGACAGAGGCATCGCAGTGATGCATAATCAAAAAGTTTTTCCATCTGTATGTGCTGATCCACTTTCTGGTTAAAGGATGGTTTTCGAGTGTTTTCCTTGTCCCGCTCTGCTTCTATTCTCCTGCTAGGGCCTGGGCATACATAACTGAATTTAGCAGTAGCAAATTATCCCTTCCCATTTCACTTCCAATCAGCGCAAGCGAGGAGGCAAATACAACTTTCACTTCCTGTGGGGAAACAATTTGCAGTGTGCCTTCGTGTGGAGTTCCATTTTAGTGAACTTTGCCCCATGATATTTGCTTCACATCCATATGTTTGGCCGTGTCCCCAGTGTGTGCTGCTGGTTGGTCAGGACCTCCTGCTTTCCTGCTCTGCGCGCCATTCTCACACACACCTCTTCCTCCTTCAAGCAATCATCCACTCAGTCACCTTCAGTACTTAAAAAACTGGTCTGATCACCAGTTCCTTGCCAGAATTGAATTTCGTGGATTAAGCCATACTTTTCATACCATTACTCTATATCTTGCACTGCAAAAACTCTGCCCCTTCCCCATACACTGGATTCGCCCTCACACTTGCCCTTACACTTAGTTTTGTGGGTTTTTGTTTGCTTAGTGTGTTCTGCACGTTCTTTAAACTCTAACAGATGCAGATAGGTTGTAAATTGCATACATTGCTGTTTACATTTGCTAGCTACAGGTTCAACTGATAGCAGCGTCACCTTGCCTGATCTTTATGTTTGGATCATATTTATCTGGAATGCAGTTTCTCCAAATGTTTCCTCGGGCATGTGAAGGGCAATGCAAGAATATGAAAGTGAATTAAGGGATGGAAGCTTTTAAAAGCTTCTGGGTGGCTGCAGCTCAGATGTAGAGCGGGTATAATGGCGAAAGGGCTGCACATAGATGCTCTGTATGAATGTGTGTGTGAATGGGTGATTGTAGAGTGGTCATCAAGATTCAAAAAGACTCATTACGCAACCATTAACCTTTTAACCAGGGACAGACATTGGTAGAGACATCAAGATATCAAATTATTGAAATTTATATAATATTCTAAACTTTAAACACTTACACTACTAATCAAAAGTTGTATGCCAAAGAATTAAATAAATTGTCCGGGTCACACTCAAGCTGAAAGATCATATAAAACAGATTAACAATGAACTACGTTAACCAAGTAAAGCTTTCCTGCAGCAATTAAAGTAAATTAATTCATTTCATTTCTTTCTTTTCATTGTACATTTGGACATTATGCATTGTAAATGTCATTTGATAAATCATACATCCTATGACACAATGTACATTTCAGTAACAACTGGAGAAATCTGACCGGTAGTGTAATGATGGCTGTTCCTCGTGAGTTGTTTCGTTGTTGGATTTATTAGATTCTCTTTCTTTTAGGATCAGAGTCAGAGTCCTGTGGACCGAGCAGTCGCCTCAGTACCAACTCTGAGAGACAGCTTGTTTTCAGAAAGATGGAGGACAACAACACGCAGCCAACTGGAATTCAAATTTGCTCAACCACAACTACCAGGAGAGGAGAAATATCAGCATATGAACTAGGGACATCTGGTTAGTGTGTGTGTGTGTTCACACACTTGTGTGTGTGTGTGTGTACACAATCAGGCACACTGAGCATTAACTTTTACCAATTTACTCTCATACATTCAGAATTCCATTTCATACACAATTAATACACCTCGTTTCTGCTCATAGCTACTCACTCTCTGGTCACAGAACATGCAGGTTTCTGAAAGAGATTATTCTGTATCACTCTCAAACACTAGCAGACACAGACATCATACACACACACACACACACGTTGGATTGGGAGTCCGTCCAGGAATAATATATATATGTCCCCTCATTACTTCCTTCACTCCCAGAAAACACTGCAGTAATCTGTTTATGCTGATACACACATGCATCTATTTTCATTCACACACACACACACACACACACACACACACACAGACACACACAGACGCCCAAGAGAAAAGACAATGATCTGTTTTATTCAGATATATCTCAGCACCCCAATGCTAATCAATTCCCTTCCTCTTTCCTTCCTCACAAATGTCACTGTAAACACCATGTTTGCATTTCATTCCTCTACTCTTCTTTTTACACTTTTTTAGCTCTGCTGTTTTCGTCATGAATCGTTCCTACTCTCTTACAACCTTGAAATCCTTCATTTTCCTCTCCCTATTTGGTTCATTTGTAGTTGTATTAAGTATTTTATCTGGGACTCCACTATGTGCCGACAGAACATGATTGATCTGAAATGATTGAAAATTTCTCAAATGCATCAGTTCATTTTCAACAACCTGAATCCGATGAGGAATGTGTGTAGTTGGACAAGACAAACATTAATATAATACAGCGGGATCATTACCTTATTGTTTAATGGAGGATGTGATTTTCAATCATTCAATGTAGTATCTTTGCTATATATGCCTCCATTAATAGTTATACATGAGGGAAATGTCCTAATAAACCAACTGAAGTCGAAAACATCAGGAAATACATTATATTCTTGTGTTGTGCTTGGCTGCTCAAGTAAACAGTTTTGAGAGAACGAGTTTTTTTAGTTCTCTCAAAACAGAGAGAAATCTGTGACTGAAGTAGAAACAAAAGTACAGAGCTCAAGCTTTTGTCTCACAGCAGTTCCTTTTACACACATTATTTGAAACTTTACTGTATATATTCTGTATGACTGAAAATAAGAAAAAACTTTATAGGTGCCCTTAATTCAAAGAAGGACACCTCAACATGTTTTCAGTATTTTTAATTCCTCATGGGAACCTGTGCACAGACGTTTTGGAAAGTTGTGTGTGTCGTTGTGCAGCTCCAGTGTTCTGTTTGACAGCGCGCTGAAGAACGCTTCTCACCAAAACATATGTGCTCTGACTCCCTTGTGCTATTAATGAACATCTTGAAATAGCTTTTTGCTCCTGAGCATCTTTGTCAGGTTGGAACTCCTTTTCAGGTTTAAAGCACTGGGTTTTTACATTTTAGCTGTAACACACCAAATCATGTGTGCTGTTAAAACTCCCATAATAGAGTAATTCATCCCTTGAAAATGATACATATGTCCTGAAGCTACAAATATATTGCACATAGAGAACATTCAAATAGAGAAAGATTGAAATCTGACCTTCCTTGAGGAGGCATTTGGGAGAAATCATATTTTAATCTTTCTCTAATTTTACACTGAATCCATTTTAAATCTGTTAAAAAGCTCTTTCAGGACATTCAATCTAGATTCATGCCCTATCTACCTTGAAGTGGAGGCCGATTAAATATACAGGTTTGTGTATTTGTGAGTTTACGTGTTAGCAGCACTGATACTGCATTTATCATTCCCCATGCTGCCTGGTTTGACAGTGCTAAGTGGAGTTTCTGTACCAGGCACGGGGAGAGTGAGGAGGAAAGGAGGGAGGGAGGGAGAGGTAAGGAGACAATGGTAGATTGAAAGAATGAAAGACTTAATGCTGGAGGTGAAACTGGTTCGACAGCACGCAACAGAGGAATCAGTGTGCTGTACACGCTCACGTACACACCCACACCATCATAGATTCTCGATGGGGGCTGCGATGTAATTTACAGTGAGCAGGTGGGGATGGATGTTCAATCTGATTCAATTTGATGTAGCTCACAGTAGAGTGGGATGAGACACCACCCATTCCACTAACTGTGGTGATCGTTTCTGTCTCTCACCTTCGTTCTCTGATCCCTCTCCTGTCTACCTCTCCTCTTATCTGTTTCTTACACGCACACTCTGTTTTCACTTCACCATATGTCATCGTATCCATTTTTACATCCTTCCTTCTATCCCTCTAGGCACAGATACTTTTATCCACTTTTTCTCTTTTTCATTTTTATTCAGCGTCAAACTGGTCCAACAAGTCCACTCCAACTCTTTCTCACCCTACAACGACGACCCCAAATACTCCACCTGTGTTCCCCTCCTTCTCTCACTCTCCAGCTCCTCCTCGCTCTGCCTTCCGTTTTCGTCCCACGTCGGCCTCAGAGTTGGGTACAGTAGTTCGCCCGTTGTCCCAGGCAGCCCAGGAGATAATGGACATCTGTAAACTGGACCAGACAGGTTGCGAGGACCCTGACCTGGACACAGACACAACTGCAAACATGCTCCACAGCCTCGAGCAAGACCTCAAAGGTACAGATGCCAACAAACAGCATAGGTAGAAGTTATAGTAGAAGTCACCATCATGGTGTGATAAACATGGTGTGATAAACACCTTACTTTGCATTTGATAATGACAATCAAACAAGGCTGTATTAAGCCCTCAAGGTTTTAAAATAAGGTCACAAGCATTATCTTCCTTTCATGTCTATTTCAGAAACAGAGACACAGGCTTCATTACTTGCTGCAGTAAACAGTGGAAGACAATCTCAGCAGGGGAATCAGACACCGACACGGTTGGTAAAACACGCACACCAAACCGACTTCTTTCTAAAATTGTGGTTGCTCAACACACATAATTTACATAACCACATGCTAAAGGGTAAACTCAAGTCTGATTGTTATTTTTACTTTACCTGGAAATGTCAAAGCAACATTGTTTAAGTTTTACCGAGCAACAGCGCCCTCTGTAGCAACGTGTAGTGATTCATATTGTTTGGTTCCGCGTCTGAGCGATTGCTTTTCATGTAGAGGAAAAAAAGCCTGTGAGTGTGTTGACTGGAGCTCTGACTGTGTAGTCCCGCTCACTGAACCGAAACACCACTGAACGCAGGATATTTCCCATGATCCCCGGCTTCCTGAACAACAAGTGCCACCACTGTACGGTACAATGACACCAAACTCTGTTAAGAATTTTAAAGCTGATTTAATGACTTTAACGATAAGTCTTCTTCTAACTGATCTACAGTATTGTTCGCTGGGTCTGTTCCCTCCAGACATTTTACAGAGTTTACCTTTCGTCTGTCCAGGTCAGACACATTCACAACAACAGGAAATGTGAGATATCTCTCAGTTTTGTGTTGGTTATATGTTGGAAACGTCAATAACACTCCAGCAGGTTTTCCTGCTGTATTCTCGAATGGGCTCTTTGCATTCTCACTCACAGCCCCTCTGGAAATTTCAGGAAAATGTTTGGACTTTTCTGAAAGAAGCATTTGATAATCTGTCAGTTGGAAATCGTACCCGCTCACAAAAGTTACATAGACCAAGACCAGACGTTCAGGGTGAGGAGTGAGAATGAGAGCTGCACCAATCTCTTTATTCCAATACAGTGAACAATCAAACTACATTTTGAAGAGGCTATTTTAAGGCAAAAAGTTTTATAGTGTTGCTCAAATATGTCACAGCCTTAAGCTTTTAAAATACGAGCTTCAACTCTGGGTATCTTTCCATTTCCATTCCAGTTTGATCCTCCTCAAAGACAAACTGACTTTTTTGCTGTGAGCATCTGACTGTAGCCTGGTGACTTCCTGTTTTCAAACTCTTGTCTGTTTCCTTTCTCCATGAGAGGCATGTAATCCATTGCCCTGTCCACATCCCTTCTCTCCTCTACCATACCAACGGTCACGATGGGGGGTAATCCCTCTTTTTTGTGCTCCGTCAATCCCGCTCTCTGTCGGATATGTGGAGTGTGTAATGAATCGTTAGCCAGCAGAACGACTTTAGCTTCGACGACATGTTGGACATCGGGGGCCTTAATGTGCTGTTCAATGTGTGTATGTGTGAGATGGAGAGAGACGGCGTGTCAGTGTTTTCTTCTTACATATCAGAAACTGAGTGTGTTGGGCTGCTCTTTGTTGATGTTTTGTGTGTGTGCGTGTAATGGGCATAATCTGTGCTAGAGGCCTTGTGCTGAGCAGAGCACTGTGAATATCACATTGAGATGTGTAATAACCGGATTACCACATACTACACAGAGGGCTCCCTAAATAGCTCCTTCCATCTTTCAAACACACACACACACACACACCAGTTTGGTGTACCTGTGCCAGTTTTGTTTTTTAAATCTCATTACTCCATTAGTTTTATCTTGACATTTGCAATAACCTTCGAATTTTATGGACATTGTTACAAGGTTCAGTACAAAGATCCAATATTAATATCATGGCCGTACTTATGTACTCATCAGTACAGGGAAATGCAGAGTTAGTTTTGAAATAATTCCACTGCTTCATAAGTCTGGACCTTTACCCTCTTCACTTTCCTTTTATAGATGTAAACACTGCTTTAACTACTTTATTATAGCTTCTCTTTACAGATACAGTTTTATCCTCCTCACATCACCAGGTTGCTTTCAGACTTTATTGAGTGGTGGCTGCAGTTGCATCACAGAGTAGATGTATAATATTGAAGTTCTGTGGTCTCTGGTGCCCAAAGTTATACAGAATAACAGTCTACCCCAAAAAATCGGAGTGGTTTTTTAACTGTGGAACCTTTTAAATATATTAGTATTTATTTAAAAGTATATTATCGCAGTAGGACATGCACGCTCTAAAGCACACACCATATTACACAAGCGAATTCTGTGACAGTGTTTCAATACAGCATGTGTGTGTCTATCAGGACCTGTACTGTACATTAACATTTCATATCCAGATCACTATTCACCATGTACGGCCCATTCAGTCTCTTTCAGCTGCTTCAAGCTGCCTGAATGAGCTTTAGCGTTGCCTCAGTCATCTCTTTCATCTAAACCTCAGTCAGTGCATACTTACTCAGCAGTATCAAATTCATATTTGGGACGTGGCTCTGATTTTCTCATTTACAGTTTACACAGCTCAGGATTTCTTAAATCGTAAAAAGCTTAAATTCCGTAGTTGAGCTTGACTGTAATCAACGGAGAGACTTGGAGTATATTTACACCTTTGTTTATGTTTACTGGCTTGATTTTATAATTAACTCCGCCAAGGAAGTTATGTTTCATTGTTGTTTGCCTGTGTTTTAGCAGAATTAATGCAAAAACCTCAGAGCTGATTTTCTTCAAACTTGGTGCAAGGATGGGACGTGGGACAAGGAAAAAACATTACATTACATTACATTTACTCATTTACTAATCGACTTGATCTAATAGCTTAGTTTCGTAAATTATTTAATTGGATTTAGATTGAATCAAATGTCAAACCACAACACTGAAAGTGCAGGTTTACCTGACATTGGACATTGTGTCTGATTATCATTCATGTTTCTGGAGCTATGTCTTTGCTGTCTGCATCTGACACTAGTTATAAAAAGTTTGAGGACATTTGTCTTTTAATCACAGTTTGGTATTAAAGTGCTTTGTATGTTTGATGTTCTGACTTTGATTGGTGGCTTTGGTTTTGCAGGGACAGAGTCGGCGAGGAACAAAGGGAGGCGGAGGAGGCTGCACAGAGAGACCAGCAGAGCGTCCTCTTACTACCCTGAGATATTTACACACACACACACACACACACTTGTATACAAATATAACATGTGTTGTAAGAGAGGAAAGCAGGCGGAATGAATGTAATTTAAATTGGGTCATCCTCGTGGTGTTTTTTTTCTTCTAGTGCAAATAAATGAAAATGTAATCCTTTGAAAAACATTGTCGTGATCTGATTCAAGGTTTTGTTTTGAGTTGGGTATTATCACTCTGAATGTATGTTTCCATATTTTTTCCTGCACTATATTCACATTACTCATACAGTGCGTATTAAAAAACGCAGCTTTTAGATACTACGTGCCTGTTCATGGATTATCTGAAGGTACAAAACAAACAATAAAGACAGGCAGAGGATGAGTACAGGAGGGGAGGTGACAAAGTGATAACAAATAGCTCTGATTCTCAGCAGGAGTCTGTCTTGGTGGCTTTGATTTGGTGTCTCCACTGTGTGTGATGCTGTGTGAGATGTGGGAGCATTACGAGACAGACGTAGTCGGCTGTGGTGCCAATTTTAACTGCAGGGGTTAAGAAGAATTTTTCTCTGTTGGCACCAGTTCGGTCCTAAATAAGGTTAGAGTGGCACCGGATCAGGTCAGACTGCCCGCACAAGCACACACACACATACACACACACACACACACCTGCGGGAGCTTCCTGCAGGTGATAAATTATGTTCGTAAGAGAGGGTAAAAGTAACTGTGCCAATGGCCGCTGCTGCTATCTCTCCGTATGTGTGTGCAGGAGTTGAGGAAGATAAACACCAAGCACTGGAACTGGTTCATCATCTCTGTAGTGATTGTGTACACGCACAGTAGGTGTGCGTGAGTGTGTACATTTTGCATGTTATTTTCTCAGCTCTCCTGTTTTGCGTTACTCCCCACAACCTGTCCTAACCTGTCATATCTGCCACTGTCCTCACCTGAGTTCACACCCCGCCACACGCTGTTTTATCTGCAGCAACGTGCATCACGTGGGGATCAAACAAGGACAAACACGTATACAGAGAAGAGTCACACCCGTGTTACACTCGAACACACGCAAACTCTCAGAAGCAACATGGATGTCTAAGAGGCCAGGATTGAATTGAAGATTAAGCTTAATTTGCGCACTGCAGGGGGTTGTGTGTGTGAATATGCCTTTATGGGACCGTGCTCTTTACTTTAGTCACTGTGGAGGGATATAAGGGTATTTTATTTGTCCCGACGTTAATCGCTAGGAGCGGACAGCAAAAGCCCTGTAATCCAACAGCAATCACAGCAAGACTGATTGATAGCACAGGGACGGAGAGAGAGAGAGAGAGATAAAGAGAGAGAGGGGGAGAGACGGGCCAAGTGACCAAACAGTAGACGAGGAGAAAGAGAGGTGAAAAGGTAGATCTTTGTTATTGTGTCCTTCACTGAGTTTATCACTTACTGTTTAGAAGAGGAAAATAACACAGACATAAATCTGAAGGATATCGAACCACTAGGCTGGGTTTAAACAACTCTGAGATCTGTGCACTCCGTCTCTCCCTCTCATGTGCACGTGGACAAGGACAGGGGAAAGAAACGGAAAAAGAGAGCTGACCTTTGTTAGATATTGTGGTTGTGTGTGATGTTGTTGATGGGGTCAGAAAAGACAGTGAAACTGGAGGAGTTGACATTTAACTGAACAATTAACTGACCCTTTTCCAGAACCGCAGTTCAACTTTTTTTCTATCTGTGCAAATGTCTTTAAATCTGAAAAGTTAACTTTAGAAGAAAGTGTATAAGTTTCATTTTCAAACACATCACAGTCGATATTACTGGTAAATCTAATACAAGCATATGGTTTCTTTTCTTCCCTTGCCCTATCTCCCCAGGAGTCAGCTTGGATTTTTACCATATTACTTTGTTTTTCTTGGGATTTGGCATTTTCTGTGACTGCGAGTTGCACGGTGGTTACATTTTGTTCTGCCTCTGGCCCCGTGTCCACTTGTTTTCTCATGAAAACCCATTCAATTTTCCTCACACAGAACGCTCCGAGAGGACTCACTTGTTCGCAGACTCTCATAAGTCGCCCACAGTGAGCCGCGAGGGACAGAGGCTGCATCCACGAAATAGGTAAAATAGAAGAAAGGACGCTTCTAATGTAGAAAGGGATTATATTCATCCATATTATTAAATTACTAGGCTTTTTGTGAACTCTCAAGGGAATCCTCTGTGGATATTTCACTGCAAATGTGTCATTCAATGTTTTTTATTTTTTACCCTGTAACTGAAAAAAATGGATTATTAAAATACATTATGCTGCTGTTTGATTCATACTCACCGGTTACACTGGGCTGGAGTTTTGGTTAAATATTGACAAGTCATTTGTCTGGAAATTCAAGTCAGTGTTGACTTTTTATTCAGTGATCATGATTTTGAATCATCTTTAGTAGTACAGTACTTTGTGTGTGTGGAATCACCGCAGAGTTTGGTAAATCAGAGATATCGCTGCCATTCATGACACTATTAAAGGGGAGTATTTGGTTGAGCATATTGATGTGGCAAAAACCAGATGTGAGGAGCATCATCATCATCATCATCATCATCATCATTATCACCACTACCATCTGACATCAGACACAGAGAAGCAGATTCAGCTATTGGATTAAAAAGGTTTGTCTGCAAAATGTCTTCAATAATGTATTATGGCCTGAGAGGGATGCAGTAAAAACTGAAAAGTATTGAAGCTGAGCCCTGGGCAGGGAACTATAGTAAACTTGTGCTGAAGCCCACATGTCAAAGGGAAGTGTGTTGTATTGAAGACTGAAACAGCATCTAAATGTACTGAAATATACGTTTACATGGTGTTACAAATTCCTGCTTTTTAAAGTTTTATTTTTGCCTACTGGACGTGCCCAAATGAAAACGATCACAGAAGATCTAAAGGTCAAAATGCTTGTATTGTACACAACCAAACTTCCATCAGTTCAGGTGTAACTCAGAAAAGTATTTTTGCATCCTCTTCTGAATAAAACACACTCAAGTCATTCAAGAAATGTATAAATCACCACATCTCCTCTAGATTTAGTCAGAAATACTTTGTCCAGACCTGACCTTATCAGAGTTAGAGACTCTTTGGTTTGTTACTTTATTTAAGTTTAAAACTTTAAAAACTTTATATAATATTTAATTTGTTTTGCTTGTGTAATATTTTTGACCCAAGCATTTGCCAGGGACTGCTCGATGTAATTGTTGTGCACATGACATATAAAGTCTTGAATGTTGAATCTTAAATCCTGAAGGGGGTGTCGTACCTTTACACAGCCAATCAACAGTGGCTCTGAAGTGGCCAACCCCCCCTCACCTGCTCTCATTGGACAGTGCAATCATCTGTCTCCAGGTGAGCGTAATTAACAAAGGTATGAACCAATGAGAGCTCATTCTGCACCTGCTTGACACTCCTGATTGGGTTTCTTGCTAAGGTGCGCTCCCTGTCTCCACCTGAGCCTCCTGGGGTGGGAACTATGCAGGAAGGCTTGCAGTTTGGGAGCAGGAAGTCAGAGTAAACAAGCGTACCCAAACCCAGACAGGCAGGAGGAGAGGAGGAGAGGCGATGGCGGACACGTGGAGGATGGAGTTGCTTGACTGTGCGTAATGGACGTCACACGACAGAATCAACAACGTGGAGAACTTACAAGAGACATACTTGTGGACTAAAGGGACATGGATAATCAAGGACTGGACAGACTGTTGCCTCACCACCATGGTAAAGGTAGGAGTTCTCCACTCTTCTGCAACTTGCTGCTTCATGATGCTGGTGCATGTGAATGAGTTGTTACCTTTGCACTGATCAGTACAATGAAGTGAATGGATGAACTGTGTCTAATCTACTGACCTGTTGCATGAACATGTTGACTTTGAAGAGCTCACACGTTTGTGCAGTGTTTAGTTTGTTCAGTCTGGACTAATGTAAAAAACATGGTAGCCTCCACAGAGAAGACCCCCTCGATGTAAATATAAAGTATTTAAATATAAAAGGTGGGGTGACAAAAACTACAATTCATTCAATTTAGATGAAATGAACTCGTGAAAACATCATGAGGATTATTCCACATTCAATTTCTGCCAAAAGTTCCCTTTCACCTAAATCTTACCTCTTACTCACTGGACCTTTAAGATGGAGAAACATGTTGAAATCATGATAATATGCCATAAAATAGTCTCATGTATTATTACGATGTCAGTGCGTCTCTCACTCCTAGTTAATGTTCATGTGGATGTCAGAATTTTCCGACCTCTTACTTTAAAAAGTGCAATGGAAGGCCACTCAAAGTCTCAGTTCCCACTTGAAAACTCTGGGAAAATGTATCAAATTACATATAATTTAGCTGACATCCAGTAAGTGCATTCAACCATGAGGGTACAAACCCAGAACAACATGAATCATGTACATTAGCTTAAAAATTCAAAAAAACATCCAGACTTCTCAAAGAGAATTTGTCTGACGCCACACAACAATGGTGGCGCTAATGGAGCCGGAGATACTGTGGCGCCGAGTTCCGTCTGCCCTCTGTTGTACTCTTGTTTCCTCGTTTGTGAGATTGAGTGACAGTGCGTGTGCAGGGGTTCTCTGCCTCTTATGTATTGGAATTTGTTTTTCCAAGTACAAAAGTGCTGTAAAGATAAAATGGAAACGGCGTCTGTTGCCTCATGCATCGTTTCCCTCTTCTGCTTTGTTTCTGTGTGCACGGAGGCTGTACTAGTCAGTTGAATTGTCTCATCACAGGCCAAATAAACATCAGCTTCTCCCAGTCAGCCATGTTTGTTTACATTTGACCTCGTGCCATCGCTGTGCATTGGAACGCTTGGAAGTCGGAACTCGTAAATTACGAATATCCAACATCCGAGTTGTCTGGAACGCAGTATAACAACTCTCCATTAGTGAAGCATGACACCATCAGTCAACCCAGTCAGGTACAACATGGGTTTTACCTGCACCCACCAGCTCCATCGCTGTATGAATGACTGGCTCCTTTCCCTTCTATGGTTGTGAGGCTGCAGGTATTTGCTGTGGATGTATATCATCTAATCATTTCCCATGTTTCTCTATTGGAGCCGTGCTGCCTCATTACAGGAGAGGGCTGTCAGTGTGAAACATAAAAAGCCTCTTAGCTGCTTAGTGTGTGCGGGGCTGCTGCAGCTCTGTCTACCCTATTATCCACCCAGCCTGTGAATAGAGGGAGCAGCAAAGCGGAACACAGGTGTGGGATGACTTTGCAGGCAAGTATAGCGAGAGGTAATAATGTGAAGTCTTGTTTGTGCATGTATGAACAGCACAAATGTGGCTATAAAAAATACACCGAAGAAACAAGCTCAATTATTTTAAAGGACAGACTGGTAGATGCACGATTAGCGTCAAGCTACATGGTTTTATTGCCCTAGAAACTGAATGATTCTCTCACAAACACGAATCCCTGTTTTCGTGGACAAATTGTATTATTATGTCTCCGTGACCACATCCCTGCAACGTCCCCTCGTGTTGCAACCTACCCAGCTTTAAAGCAACACACCCTCAAATAGCAGCTTCAAAATTAGTGTGATGGTACACTGACTGGGAAAAGAGAGCCTGGTGCCGCTCCTCACCCTGAACGCCTATTCTTAGCTGTTTTCAGACATGAACTCTGGAAAATGTCTGGATAATTGGATCCACGCGTTCTCTGGAGTTTGTTTTTCAGATATGAACAACACAGTAGGAGATTGTCCGAGTCAGACGCGTTCACAATAGGAAAGAGCGTTCAAGTGAGGGGGGGTCTGGGTAGATTATGAAGAAAAAAGGACATGTCGTATAAATACCACTGTGGAAATGATGTGTTTGTGTTCAGAGCACATTGACACCGGTGTCAGTTGTTATCATCCAAAGCTCTCAAATGTTGATATCTTTCCAAGTTGACGTCTTCTTTGGTGTTTTATGACACCTCTTCATCATCCTGACAAATTTGTGTAGCCTTTTTTTTTTTCTTCTTTTCAGTTCTGCCTCCACCGAGGGGCTGTCCTGCAGTAGAACTGAAACCACTCAATAAATGTAGTTTGGTGAGGTTTATTATAGTGTAATTTTTTGATTCAATTTGTCAGCATCGTTTTGTGCTTTTTCTTTTTCTTTTTTTCTTTATAGAAATAAATGGCACGGGAACTGTTTTAAAGAAAAAAAATAACGATAGACAAACCACGTTACATTTCTGTGAGAAGTGCGTTACTGACTTAAAAGTTATTAAAAACCAGCGTTTATCTCAGATATTCAGCGAGAACATTGTTTCACAGAGTTTGGTGAATCTGTTAAAGCAGCAGTTCGGCTGTTTTAAGCCAAAGATCATGAGGAATATTCACACAGTTTTTACTCCCCATAGAAACCACTGAATTGCTCGGAGACACCATGTGTGGCTGCAGAGGGCGCTGTTGCTCACTAATAGTTACATATGTTCACAATGTAGATATTCCGTTTACATTGTATATATAAATTTTTATTCCATTTGTATTTTTAGAAGTATTGCATGCTACGTATTGTTACTTTACTGTAACCTTGCAAATGTCCCCACTGTGGGACTAATAAAGGATTATCTTATCTCAGCTTAATTTAGCTTAAGTTTATCGTGGCTCCACATGAGATTCAAGGTCATCACCACGTCTGTCCTTAGATGACCCCATACACTGGTGACGGAAGTACGGCGTGCCCTGAACGTTCAGGCGGAGAGAGTTAAAATGGAGGGGAGGAGAAAGGAAGATGCAGTGAGGAAATATAAAGAGCGGAGAGGTTGAGGAGGTGGAGGATTGAAATTAAAGGAAGGTGAATGGTGGACATGAAAGGAATGGGGCGGCACCAGGAGGTAGAACTCTATCTACTTTGATAAAGAAAAGTTCATATATTCTCCCTGCCTCTCTTTACATGTCTACTCTTCTCTCCCTCCCTCTCTGTCTCTGTTCCTTACCTCTTCTTCTTATTCCATCACTTCTCCATCAACCGTTTCTTCCTCCCACCTTGTCTTTTTTCTTTCACCTTCACACTCTTTTCCCTCTCCTTAATTCTCTCTCTCCTCTCCCTCATTTCTCCTTCACTCACATCTCCGTCCATTCACGTCCTTTCATGTTTCCTGCTCTCCGTTCCCTTTTCCTTTTAATCCCTCCATTTGTCCCCCCTCTCCCTCATGTTTGGTGGCAGGTCCCAGCGCCCCAGCTGAGCCACAGAGACCCGCTGGTAAATCAATACATCACTGTAATTGATTCTGTCGGGGGCTCAAAGTGTTTAATGAGAACCAACCAAGACCACCCTCCTCCTCCACCTCCTCTTCCTCCTCCTCTTTGCACGTGGGATTTGGCGGTCCAGTTTAATGGTTAATGGAGCGGAGGCATCCATGTGCAGCAGAGTGCTGCAGGTGGTGGATGAGGGAAAGGGGCAGCTGAGGCAGGTGAGGGTCTCTGGGGGGGAAAGGACGGCAAGTTCGGGGCGTTGTGTTTTATCGGAGCAGCTCCCAAGGTGATGGGTCGGACCAACCGGGTAATGAGGACAGGTGAAGGCTGGACGTAAAATGTCTGGTCTTGGGAGAAAAGTGCCAGACAGGAAGTAAGATTGTGTGTGTGGCTGTGTGTGTAGACTTATTATCCACTTTTAGTCACTCTTACTTTTGGGAACCAGCTTTGGGAAGCTGTTGCAGCTTGATTAATTGCGTCTCGGCAGGAATTACAGGAGGAGTGAACTGGCAGAGCCAAAGTGGAAAGAGTTGCATTAAAGACAGAAGGTAAATGGACGGAAAGAGCACAAATGGCTGAAGAGCAAAGGAGAGTGGAGGGTGATGGAGAAGTGTTTGTGAGCCTCGGCTTGTTTTATCGTGTGTGTACGTCTGTGGTTTGGATGGGAGAACTCTATTGACAGTGAATGATAAATATCAGCAGCCTGTAAGACACTAATGAATAACACGGGAATATATCGGCTCATCGTTTGCTTCCCTCCTGTCTCATCCACACTTCACACCTCTCCTCTCCTCTTCTATCTTTCTCTCTGTTCCTTCTTTAATGAGAAACACCTGTTAGAGCTCCTGTCCCTTGTTAGCCCTCCCTCATCAGCTTTCTCATCCCTCTCCTCTGGTGTGTGTGTGTGTGTGTGTGTGTG